TACATACTGGTGGTCTGTTTACATCAGGTACATGTGTTCACACCTGTGATCGAGTGGCTGCATTTCATTATCAAATAAAAAAAATGATTGTTTTTGTTTTGCCCTCAGATATAATTGTTGTCAGTCACAGGAACAACATTTTTGTTTATGTATAATCTGCATATAACAACAGCATAAATCCATATTTTGTTCTGAAAGCATTAATACAGATCTCCTCTGCATCCTCTGCTAATAACATTTAAATACACCTATTAGTCCATTAATTTGTAAGTACAGTACAAAATGAATCACCGAGAGTAATGATAAGTCATTTTTTAAAGCTAAAATAACAAACATTTTCTTCTTCTGACTTTTTAAATGTGAAGATTTATTGCTGATTTATATAATTTGGGCTCTTTGCCAGACAAAACAAGGAGTTTTAAGTTGTCATATGGAGTCACTGGAATACAGTGCTGGACATGTTTCAGTATTTTTCACATTGTATTGACTAAACAATTAACCAATAGTGAAAATAATTGTTGTTTGCTTTTCTTTGCTGCAGTCACTATGTACACATCAGTCACAGGAACAATATTCATACGTGTCTTGGCTGCTTATAACACCATCATCATCATTTCCTCTATCAATACCTCATTGATTCGTTCCTAAAGAACCATTCTCACATCTCCTCTTCCTCATTTGCTAATAAATTAAATGTGTACGGTAGCTTAACCATGTCTGTGGTGTTTAACTGTCACAACGTTACAGGACTACAAAAGGAGCAGGAAGGCAGAAGATGCCACAGAAACGTGTCTGGGCCTATTGAAAGAGATTGATTACAGTTGCAATTATACTTGTATTAATGGTTTCTGGCTGTGTTTGGTAAACATCGGTTTTATTTTGTCTCTGCAGGACACTGGTGTTGGAAAGTCGAGTATTGTTTGGAGATTCGTGGAAGACAGCTTCGACCCGAACATCAACCCAACAATTGGGTAAGTTCTTGCTGTCGCTCAAAAGTCTGTTTCACCGGTTTGTGTTCAGGGTTGTTACAGGACATTATCATGTAGTCAGTTCATTTCTGTCTATCACTGTATAGATTAATCAGCTCCAATTTTAATAGTTTGTTATTAAGAATGAAAACGATTTTTTTTACATTTTGTATCCCTAATTCCAATTTATTTTACTTTTTTTAAATTAATTTCACTATTAAACACACAATATTTGCTGGTTTTATCTTCACAAATGCAAAAAGTATCTTGCTTTTCTGTTTCACGACATTATAAATTAAATGTTTTTTTTGTGGCTGTTGGTTAATTAAAGTAAGCAATTTAAAGAAATGGCTTTGTCAACTTGTGATAGGCATTTGTTGTATTTTGACATTGTGTACAGTGTCCTCAGTCCATACTACAGCCAAACCAATAATTATTGTCATATCTTACCATACCAGTTTTATAAATAACAACAATAACATATATGTTTGAGGCAACCTCACTATTATACTGACAAACACTGACACATTTATTTCTGGCAGATATATTGTTATTGCATTTTTATAACAAAATCAAAATCTTACTTTAATTTAATCAAAACCGATTATTGATATTGTTGTCAGCCTCAAAAAATATAGCATTAGACATTGAATTGATGCAATGTAAGTAAGTCCTCTTGAATATATGACATTTGAGACGTCGCTGTTTTATTAAAGCTGGTAGACAATGATGATATAGATGAAGATGTGTGTTCTTCTCACTGTAGTTGCAGCTCTATTATTTGTCTATATTTTGTAAAAACAGCAAAGTTTATCAATGTGACATAATATATCAATCATGAAGCCATTTCTCTTCACCAGGGCATCCTTCATGACCAAGACAGTGCAATACCAAAACGAGTTGCACAAGTTCCTGATCTGGGACACAGCAGGACAGGAGCGGGTTAGTAATATCCACTGAGGTTTTGGCCCTCAGCCTTTATGTTTTAAAATGAACTAGTGGACCTGAACAAGATTCACATGTGATTTGGCTTTAAAGCAGCCAAGCCACAACAGCACAGCACACAGTTTCGATATTGCAATCAATCAGTTTTACTTGGCTTGTTTTAGAAATCTACCGATTCCTCCCATGTGGCTTTAAAGGAAGTGAAAAAGCTACCCACATGTGCACGTACCACTCCCTGAATCAGCCTAGGGGAAAGTGACTAGTGCAGTTGTTCATTACTTCTGATAGGGGGCAACATTTATCTTTCTATAGGTAGAGTTCTGCCCACTAACCAGGAACCTAAACCTTGTAGTGCTCTTGTTTTAGGAGTCCACTTTTAGTTTAAATGATGTGTGTGTGGTCCGATGGCATTCTTTAGACGGGTGTCTGTTTAGTTTAGTAGAAACATCAGCACATCTGCCATGATTTGTCCCTTCTGTCACCTTTAATCTTTGTCTCCCTTCCCTTTCACTCCTTCCCCATTGCATTCATGCATTTTAAAAGGCAAGTAAAGGAGCACCATTGCTTTCCTTTGGTGTTATTTAATGCTGCATACACGTCTGACAGGTGTTAGCGACTATCATGTCCAGGTGCCACTTCTTATGCAACCTACCCTTCTTGTGTGTCTATAGCAGCAATATCTGAAATGCCCACACACCCACACAGAGTTTAGTTTAAACTGAATCTACCCGCAGATGTGCGATATAAGAAACAGGATACATCTTGGTGTTTTAGCATTTAAGCCTGCCCAAACAACACCGAGCCCCAGACAGTTGTAGGAAATGCTTTCTCTTTTGACTCACACCCTGCATCCCACATTTCTGTGCCTTAACTTTCCGCATCACTTCCCTTTTTCTGTACATGTCCTTCTCTTTTTCTCATGCACAATCCCCTGCTCTTGTAGTGCCTTATCCCTGCTGCTGTCCTCTCCCCAGAGGTGAGATAAGATGCTGTTTGTCTTTTATCCTCCTTTCCCCCGGGGTCCTTGGCTTCTTCGCCGCCTTGAGGGGACATCAATGCAGCTCTGTTTAAGATAAGATGAGAGGATGAAACCCAAGCTGTCTCAGCCCACTGGCGTGTGCTGCTACCGTGTCTTATCTGAGATTCACTGCAACTCCACGTCCCCTTTTTTCCCCTTTGTGTTTTCTCCTGTGGAACATTTCTTCTCTTGGGAACAAACTATTTTTCTGTGATACATTTTCTCCATCTTTTCATATCCCACATACCCACGTTTTCACTCCCATGTCGCCTCTCAGCCTCCCAAGGGGTTCACATCTGTGTGGGAAAAAGTAGCTACATTCCTTTGGTAGGTTTTTGCATGTGTTTGTGTTTTTATACAAAGCTGCTGAGGTATTTTGAAGCTTTTCATGGCTTGTTTTCTAACTTCTGTGGAGCTTTGGCCTATCAAAATCTGTTGAGTTGAGTAAGGGGAACACAAAGCCAGCCAATGCACATGGAAGGAGAGACCAGGGCAAAAAGGAAAGCTCTGTGATTTCCACAATCCGCAATCCATATCTCGAGACCAGATGAGGCCTTACAAGTACATTTGAGCCCAGCTGTCAACAGCCCATTGAGGCCTCCCCCTCTGACTGTTCCCTCTCACAGAAAACAAGCGAGAGGAACCTCGCATCCTGCTGGAATAGGCTTCCTTTCTTTATGCACCCAGCTCGTGGTTTTAGCAATTAATCAGCACTCGCTGGGTATCACTGGGGCTGTTTTCTGGGCTGCAGTGTGGCCAGACGTCTGGCTAATGCAATTGCTCTTTGGGTTAAGGCAGAGATAGACCACACAGGACTGGTGGTGGCGAGGCCCAACACTAGCCAATGAAACAGACAGCACTCTCCTCAGTGCCTCTGCCAAATATCCCAAGTTGGATTCCCGTTGGTGGACTTGGGGCCAGTAACAACTATAATTATGTGGAATGTGTACTTTCCTGAGGTAACGGTGTCACTCCGAGATGGATAGTTTATTCCATCGTATTGTGAAGGAAAATAGAATTGGCGGGAAAGCAGGGTCATTCTAAGTGAAGGTCTTTTTCAGACATGAGTTGTTTCTTTTAAAATAAATATCATTAGTTAATATATGACACATGGTTTTATTAGTCTGTTAAAAAAAAAAAAACGTCCAGCTTGTATTGCAAGAAGGCATACAAAGAGGTTAGCAGTTAGAGAGGCAAAATAATCCTTTTTAATTTGAATATACTGTAGTCTTGTTATCACCATTTACTTTAACTCCTGTAGAGGCCCTTGCTAGCATTTCATCTGAATTTAGATCAAGAGCTAATAGTCCACAGTTGTTTCAGCATTAAAATCATCTAAACAGCAAGGGAATGGATTCATACTACACTTTTGTGTTAAGGTCCTGTAAGCGAGCGGTTGTGCCACTGCTTTGCACAAATGTCTGTGGTGAGACCAACTTCATATTTATAACTTAAACCAGAGCTGCGCTGACCTTTGTGGGCGCAGCCCCTCATTGTCGACCACAGCTTGAACTGAAAGATGAAAAACTAATTAGTTCCAGAGCTGTATAACAACAAATTGGCCTCATATCAAGACCCGACAATAAAGTTATCTATTACTTTGTCACAAAACGGTTTTGTAAGAGACTTACAACCTACTGCTAGCAACATAAGCATTGTAGCTAAGTTGGCGCCATTTAGTAGAGAGCCACTGCCAGTTCCATAGTGGTAAATACTGCGCTGTCAAGATGCTAAGATGGTTCACTGTCTTAGGTTTACGTTTTAGCATAGTAACATTTGCTAATTTTCATTAAACAGAAAGTACAGCTGAGATTGTTGGAAAGGTTTTTTGTAATAAGCCACAGTACTGGAGAAATAAAAAAAATTAAACTGATGATAAAATATGATGGAAAGTCCGGGGATCAACAATGTTATAATTCATCCTGAAGGGAACATGAATGATTTCCTGATTTCATGAAAATTAGTAAGTTTATTTCTTAGCACTTCATCCGGCTTCAAGTGGCAGACCAGTCGACAGACACACTGACAGACATGCCCATTAAAAACAATATGTTTTAAAATATGACAGCAGGCTGATGTTGAAGACAGGTTTCAGTGAGCACTGGAAAGTTTTTTACCAGAAAAATACCAAACCTAGCCAAAGGAACCCCCAGCCTCCGAGGCAGCTATGGATGTAGAAATACACATGTTGTTTTGATTATGCAGGGCTTTCTGATCTATTGGGTTAAGATCAAATGTATAGTCTTCCATAAATATCAAAACGCTAACAGCTTCTGACACATTCTGCTCATCTTTCTCTTGATGGCTACCACATGTGTGAGGTCTTGGTGGAAAGACTTGCCATGCTTCCATTTCAAATAAAGCTACTCGGCTTATAGGCTGAGAACACTGGGCGTTTGGTTTACTGAAATGGTACTTGGTGTCTTTTTTGCTCATTTGTATACTCTGCTTTGAGTTTGTTACAGTCAGTATTATTTATTGACCATGATCTGTGCCTATGTAACAGATTAGCCATAGTCTATGAAGCCCAGACATAGTTTATTGATCTATTGGGCGTATATATACTATAAAAATATAATACAATTACACTGCAATAATAGAAGCCTTTTTAATATCCAAAAAAGATTAAAGATTGCAAAACAGTCTTCAAAAGAAGATATTTTAACTCTGATCATCATGTTCTGTTTCACATGTTTTCAAAGCTATATGCAGACTTAATGATATAAGCAGATATTTTAGTAAACACTGTCTCTCTTTGAGCTAAATGAACTTTCTCTGTCTCCCCACAGTTTCGTGCTCTAGCACCGATGTACTACAGAGGTTCAGCTGCGGCTATCATTGTTTATGACATCACAAAAGAGGTATTATTTCCTTTTTCTCCTCAACCACTAATCCACTAAGCACTTACTGTATAGTTTCATTGTGTAGTTCCATGTCTTTCCTTCATTTTTAATTCACATGTGTATTCAAGGAATGGTTCAGTTTCAGAGATACACTTATCTGCTTTCTTGGCAATACTTATATGATAAGATTTGCACCACTCTCATGTCTGTACAGTAAATACGAAGCTACAGCTGGCAGCCGTTAGCTTAGCATAAATACTGGAAACGGGTAAACCGCTAGCCTGGTTCAGTCCAAAACTAATGAACTCTGCCTAACCGCACCTCAATAATTATCACCTTACATCTTGTTTGTAAAATAACAATTTGCGCTTTTACAAGAATTATTGCCAGACTATTTCTTGGCCAGGAGCAGCTGGCAGACAACCAGAGACTCCAGGATGTTACTGACCCTGTGTGAAACAGCAAATTTATGTTTTTATAATTCAGTTTTGGATGAATTAAACAAACAAGATATAATGGGTTCATTCAGTGTTTCCCATACGTTCAACATCAACATTGACTGCCACTGATTAAAATGGGTAAACACGTATTTAATTCTTCCCGTGCACATCAGTGTGCCTCCAGCCCTGTATTCACCATAAGAACACGAGTGGTATCTATCTTCTAATCTAATTCTCAGCTAGAAAGTAAACAAGCGTATTAAACAAAATGTCAAACTAATCCTTTAAACTTTAATGGGAAGTCCTATGTGCTTGTCTGCTTATTGATTAATTCAGTGTAATGTGTTATTCACCTGTATCATCAGGAATCCTTCCAAACACTGAAGAACTGGGTGAAGGAGCTGCGCCAGCATGGTCCTCCCAATATAGTGGTCGCGATCGCTGGCAACAAATGTGACCTTTCAGACGCCAGGTGAACCTGAATTATAATAATAATACCTTTTAGCATCGGAATGATATCTGATGTCTGGCTTCAAAATATAATTTACATTCATTGTCTGTGGAGCTTAAGTGCATTCAGCTGTGCAAAGAGGGATATTGGCTCTCATAATGATTAGTATTCTGTGTAATTTGTCTGCAGTGGAATATTAGGTGAGCAGACTCTTTTTCATTCATCTTAATCATTGTGGCTATTGACGTGCTTGTAGATTTTTAGTAGGAAATCTTCCACCAAATTAAGAAATCTTCCAAGTTACCGCTGTTGAAGTAAATGTGATGGTTAAATTGAAAGGATCTGTTTGAATTTTTGCAACATGATAATCTGGACGTATTTCTTTGTTTACAGGGAAGTGCCAGAGAAGGATGCCAAGGACTATGCTGACTCCATCCATGCCATCTTTGTAGAAACCAGTGCCAAGAATGCCATTAACATCAACGAGGTGTTTATAGAGATAAGTGAGTGTGTTTCTTGAGCATTTGGTGTCATTGGCCTGTACATCCTCAGGTCCCCATTAAGCTGTGACACATTAAGCATTAAGCAGCATTAAGATAATTATCTGGTCTCTCTATGTGTTTTAAAGCAGGTACACTATGTTTTTAAACAGTATTGCCTATTAGAGGTATCATTTCTAAACATTTATGGAGTGTTATCAGTCTGTTCTATGTTTGTATCAGACTCCTGACAGGGATATATTAATTCAGAACAAGCTGCAGATAATGTCATGTTGGAAGTAAAGCAGAATCAACTTAATCATGACTACTCAACATTTAATTTGCAGAGACAAGGAGCTGTGGGAGCAGCTGACTGAGTTCTGAGTGGCAACTGATAAGCTAGAGATCAAGAGATATACTCAATAGCTGTGTCCTGTACTACATATTAATTATGTAGGTAGGTTTTGAGTATGCAGTGTGTTCATATGGGTAGAGAAATAAAGCAAAAACACTGTACATCTAAAAACACAATTCACATCCAATGCTGTATTTATGATATCAATCTGTTATTTGGACACAGCTCGTCTCCCCACACCATACTAATTGGATCCAGTATATACTATATTCTAATATATATTGTAATATGGGTAGTATACTGGTTTTGCACTTAGTATACAAGAAGTTAAGATACTTTACTGCAATAAAACTGTGACTTAGAATTTCCAGTGTAAATTCAAGTTCAAAAAGAAAAAGAAAAATATCGAAATCTTTTATCTTTTATCTGTAAATGTCTCGCCACCATTCCTAATGTATAGAAACATTTCTTTAAAAAAAAGCATGATGCACAGCAACAGATTTATTACTGTCAATTTTCAGTATTTTAAAAATAGATGTGAAAAATCACAGCATTACACAGTAAGAAAGTGTATGTGTGGTAATGGAGACTTTGAAGGAGAACAGGGAAGCTGAATACTGTGTGTGTGTGTCTGTGTGTCCTCAAAGGTAAGCGCATCCCCGTTGTAGACGCAGCAGGGGCAACTTCAGGAAAAGGTTTCAAACTGGGACGGCAGGCCTCAGAGTCTCGCAGGACATGCTGCTGATGATGCCGGTGACTGTCCCCACGTGACCTGTGACCTGACCTTCGTTTACCCTCGGCCTGCTTCAGCTTACAGCCACCACACACCCTCAAACACCCAGCTATCACTGACACCAGGATGCAGCATTGCCAAACAGATGGCCGCAGCGAATGCGTTTTTTGCGGCACTCAACAACAGCAAATCGTCATGTATCGTATGAAAATTGCTGGCAGGAGAAATACTTTACAGGTTTACTGAGCGTTGCTTTAATACATTGATGTGTAACTGAAGGACCCCCATACATATAATTTACTGGCTTCCATTATGGACATCAACCTCTGTTTGGTGTATTATAGCCCCGAGGTTGATCAGAGGAAGTACACAGAAACAGATTCATGGATTCAGAAGTAATTTGTACTTGTAAATTTGTACAAATCTATTATCTTTCAACCAAAACATGGACTGAAAATGGTTCAATTTCACCAAATTATTTTGATAGTACTTAAGTTATTGCCTTTTGTTTGTTTGGGAGATCTCTCCCCAAACATTCTCAACTTTGTGAAGGATCCATCTGTACAGTTAATGTGTGTAATCACTAATTTATCATACGATTTTGATGAAAGAGGTTCTGGTAGACATCAGTACCGATCTCTCATTTCCATTTTTTGCTTTTTGGAAGGATATTTGGAGGGATGTCGGTGATTCACAGTCTAGCACGTTTAATTTGCATTTTTATTTGTGATTGCTGTTTTTCACATTGCTTTTCAAGGCAAAATACCAAGTGGATGTTTTGAGGTAAATTGCAGTCACACGGTTAAAAATGCAGAAATGAAAGGTGTGTGTGTGGGAGCTCACTTCCACGCAGTGAAAGAATAGTTTGACATTTTGGGAAATATGCTTATTCATGTTCTAGCCTAGGGTAATATGAGAATATCAATACTAATATATGTATGGTAAATATATGTAGCGGGAAACAAGAGAGAAGTAGCTAGCTTTGCTCTGTTCAAAGGTAACAAAATCCACCTTCCAGTACATCTAGAGCTCAGTAATTAACACATTATATCTTGTTTGTTTAATCCATACGGAAAACTAAGTGTGAAGACAACAATTTGCTGTTTTACTGGGAGTTAAATGCCACAATATTTCTTGGCTCTGAGCAGCTGCCGTACAACCTGCGGAGACTCCAAGATGTTACTGGTCTCAGCCAAGAAAGAGTCCGGCAAATAAACCCCTTGTAAAATATCAAATTGTTGTTTTTATACTTAGATTTGTATACTGATTAAACATTCGAGAGCGAGCCCGGTGTTTACCCCTGCTTCCGTTCTAAATTATGTCCCTTATATTTAATGGAGAAATATCTGAATGGTATCATTCTTCTAATCTAACCCTAAGAAAGCAAATAAGTGTATTTCCCGAAACAAACTATTCTTTAAATTGTGCACTTTGTTTATTCTTCTGCGACATGAACAGTTGTACAGTCCACATCTCCCACTGATGGAGCTTTAATCAGGGCTGAAGATGCTGAGTCTTTAAGCTTATTATTATAAGATAACAGTCCCAGATGCGTGTTACAGATGTGTTACACTTTTACTGAAAAGGTGTTAACTCAGTCCTGAATATGAAGTTCCCCCTAGTGCACACAGTGTACTGCCAGCTGTCTCACAACATTACTTTAGCTTTATTTTTCTCTAATCTAATTTTCCTCAAGCCTTTGCTGCTACTTTACAGCAGTTTTATGATATATGTGAGGTCTTGCCAAATTCTTTAATTGTCCCGTAAACATTTTTCATCTTTAGATTGTTTTTTTGTTTTTTTTAAATCAGCACTGGCTCGCACACGCAGTGTTGTTTTACTACCTGGCCTGCGATGAAAACAATGAGATCTGGAAACTAAAGATCGTTTAGAGGAAACTCAGATTTTAGAGTTCAGATTTCCCCTTTGCGGAACGTTATAGGTGCCGAATTAGACGTGGCACTGTGTCGACATGCTGACCTCTTAATGAACCTTAGTCTCCATTCTGCTCTGAATTACTGTTCGTGCTTTCTTCCAAGGTCTGCCTTCTGATTTTCCTTTCTCCCAACCCCTTCTTTTGACTCATTCCTCTAAATCCCAGGCACTTACAGCTTTCGTTTTGTTCCAGACAAATCTGGTTCACTATACGACAAGAGCTCCAGATCATCCTCTTACATTCATGAAAATACTCTGCGATCTTTGCACCATGTTAAAGTAGTTTGATTTACCTCTGATATCAGCCTTCAGTAGCAGTTGACTCATAAGCCCCCACAGACTTATTAATTCTGTGTAATTCCTTGCGTGTCTGTATCTCTTGAGTCCTTTTAGCCCCAGAACTTCTTTTTAAAAGTTGCCAAAAAATACAGATGTGGGGTCAATTAGACTGCATTTCCATATTTATAAATTTGGATTGTGTGCTTTTCTGTCAGCGAAAGCTTTATTTGCCTGTAAGCATCTTAAATGTATCTGTTTTTTGATGAGTCGTGTGCTAAGCAGTGCTGCCTATTCCTTCAGGATTTCCTTATCGAGTGCAATAGTTGTTATTACGACAAAGGTAAAATGTGACCTAATCAAAGAAACCAGTTACAGAGTGATATGTTCACACAGATAGAGCACACACTCATGCACAAATGTGATCTCATACCCTACAGTCTCTCAAACGGACGATAATGACGTGTTTATATTGACCTCATTTTATGCTGATTTGATGACAGTTTAGCTCGTACATAGTTCATCAAATGAGCGGTGTGATGGGGCCAACCAAATCCCTTTTTAAAACCAGAGTAGCATTCTAGGTCAAAACTTTAAACTTCAAGCAATGGAATTTGATTCATGCTGCTGTCTTTGATAATTCGCCCTGCACTACACGATAATACTAACTCTAGCTAGTATTTAACATAGCTTCAGTAATCACGTCACAAAAAGGGAATCACTCTGGTACTTTTGAAAGCTGCACTTTGACTGTTTGTATTCTTTGGCCCTTATTACCTTATTACTAACTAACACCCTGTCTGCAGTCTGTTATTATCTCTGTGAAACATTCTCGTAAAAGGTAACAGACTCCTTAATGTCCTTTTGATGTTATTTTAGGTTTTGACTGTTTGCTCAGTTCTTATTGCTGCGAAGAACACGGTGGCAAATAATGTCAAAGCCATTTTACTACACCACGCATAATTAACCTTTTTTTTTATTGTCGATGTAACATAGTGATTTAAAGTGCTAATCACATAAATGCTTATTTGAAGTTTGATAATGACATACGTGTTTTTTTCCCTTATTTGAAAACAGGCATGGATAGAAATTGTATGCCAGTTTTTGCATTGAAAAATACCAATAGTCTTGGGCTGGCCCTGGGAATGTGATTAATCTATATTATGTATATTTTTCAGCGTAGGTATATACCATCAAATTGCACACAGATCAATAACTATATTCTATTCTAAGCCAGTTGTGTAAACACAATAGACCTGTACACCATCTGCAGTAATTTCATCAGCATTGTAGTTACCATATTTAGCTTTTTACTATGTTTCATATTGATTGTAACAAAATGCCTGAAAACACTTGTTTGCAGTGTATTTCCAAATGTGTAAAAGGGAATTGTCAATTTGTTTACTAATAAAAGATTGACAAAAATATCTGTCCTCTCCTGCTGTGTGAGTGAGTCAGTGTGTACCCGTGTACGTCCTACATGCAGCCTCTCTCTCTCTCTGCCTCGTGTTGGGCCTAAGAGAGAGATGTGTGCATTAACTTGCTCCTTGGAGATACAGTGACAATGTTGTTAGTGATTGGTTGTGTTGTTCGGCTGGCAGCCAGCCGGAACTGGCTATATATATATAAATATGACACTTGAGATGCATGTTTGACTGGCAGAGGGCTTTTCACTGCACTTTGAATAGTGCTGAGAGGGTAGAACACTTATTTGACAACCTCCCCGTCCCCTACCGAACCCCCGCTGGGTTTACAGCTAAATTTATCCAACTTGATCCAGTTTGATTGTGGATTTTTTTTGTCCAATTAAAAATCCAAGTCACCTTATTTGTAAAGCATGTTTGAAAACTATGTGGTTAAATGGGATATAAGATCAATATGACTTTTACCTGATTACACCTGTAGTAATTAAGGACTGAGGTCTTTTTTTGAGGTGTCAGTGTTATAATGAATCAGTATATGGTAGTGTGAGAATAACATGGAGGCTTGTGTAAAAAGAGAAGAATAAAAGCTAACTCGACAGGTGAAATATAAATTGATTTATGAAATGAATTAAAGGTACACTGACACACTAGTGTAGCTACATAATTTTGCCATTGAGCTGCTTTTTTCTTTTAGGAAAACATGTTTCACAATGTATTACTTTATGACTTTGCCATAATTTTAAACGGTCAAACACAGATGTAACTAACAACATTAATCATAGCTGCATATTCTATTTCGATGCTCAGATGTGCCAGTTGTGCATACTGCCTCATTGATCCACGTAATTGGAATAAAGCCATCATTACTGTTATTACTTACACCTGTGTCTGCTGTGCTATTATAATTAAACATTTCATGATGAGTAAATTCATATTAATAATGTTAAAAGCTTTAGAAAAACAAACTGAGGCAAGATATTTTTGTCCAAGACATTTGGCTTTTTTTACTTGTAAATCTGCAGTTATAAATGTAAAATTAATTATTTAATAACATTAAAAAGGTTTTAGAATTCAAATTTATGTTAACAGGCAACTTAAAAATATTTTATTTTATTAAAAAAAGTGTCACAAATGTCATCTACTAATTTTAAATGTTTGATATTTCAGCTGGAATATAAGAATACATTTGAAAGTAACTTTTTATTAGTCATCAGATATCGATTATAAGAGTTATGTTATATGTTTTAATCAGTTTTTATCTATCTATCTATCTATCTATCTATCTATCTATCTATCCATCCATCCATCCATCCATCCATCTATCCATCTATCCATCTATCCATCTATCTATCTATCCATCTATCCATCT